TGCATGCAAAAGGTAATAAACATATGGAACAAGTTTGGGGAGAAGACAATTGAGGCAAAACATGCAGCTATTTCAAGAGGCACTTGGAGTTATCTCTGAAGAAGGCAGCGTTTAAGGGATATGATAAAAAAAAAAAGCAAGTAGAATTCAGGTAACACCCAAAAATGAATAGGCACGTTGGGCTGCATTTGGTATGTTATCCTTTTCCTGTTCCCAGAATTTATTATATTCTTATTATATTATATTTCCTGTAGGGAAATGACTATTTTTGTCCCTCTCAAATTTCTGATTTAGGCTCTGGTCTATACCTGAAGTTTTACCAGCAGAACAATGTCAGTTAGGGATGTGATTTTTTTGCTAAAATAGCGATGCCAGTAAAAGCTGAGTATAGCTGCAGTTATACTAGTATACACAGCTGATCAATGTGCCCTTGATCAACTACCTGAGAAACATATCTAAGAGGACCTAGACCTATCAGTTGAATAAGACTCAAAAGCCATCAAACAACTGAACTCTGGTAAGGCATCCGAAAAGGATGGAATCCCAACAGAACTGTACAAAGCAGCAGGCCCAAAGGCTACCGAAGTGCTCCACAACATCTTGAGCAGTATCTAGGAAGAAGAAGAAATGCCACAAGACTTCAAGAATGCTACCATTGTATTACTGTTCAACAACAAAGGCAGGAAAGCTGACTGTGGAAACTACAAAGCAGGGGCGGCTCCAGGCACCAGCACAGCAAGCACATGCCTGGGGTGGCAAGCCGCGGGGGGCGGCGTGTCGGTCGCTGTGAGGGCGGCAGTCAGGCGGCCTTTGGCGGCGTGCCTGCGGGAGGTCCACCGATCCCGTGGTTTTGGCGGCAAGTACACCAAAGCCGCGGGACCGGCAGATCACCCACAGAAACGCCACCGAATCCGCGTGACCGCGGACCGCCCGCAGGCGTGCCGCCGAAGCCCGCCTGACTGCTGCGCTTGGGGCGGCAAAAAACATAGAGCCGCCCCTGCTACTAAGGCATTACTCTCTTTTGTACAGCAAGGAAAATACTTGCTCGCATTCTACTGAAGAGACTCTTTGCAAATATATTTGAGGAGAATTTGCCTGAAGCGCAGTGTGGTTTTACACCAGGTAAAGTACACTCTATGGACTTATTTTTGTTGTAAGGCAGGTCCAGGAAAAATGTTCAGAGCAGAACATGGACGTGTATGCAGTCTTCATCGACTTGACCAAAGCCTTTGATATGGTCAACAGAGAGGGTCTATGGGCTATTCTACATAAACTGGGCTGCCCAAGAAGGACCAGTTCCATGATCACATGACAGGGCAAGTGCTCTCCAACGGTCACTCTTCTGACAGATTCAAAATCTCGAATGGAGTAAAACAAGGCTTCATTCAACTTGTACTTTACTTGCATCCTCAGCCTGCCACAAGGGACTTGGCTCAGGGGATACGCATCCGCTACCGACTCAATGGCTCCCTGTTTGATCTTCGAAGATTAAACACTAAGACCAAGACGTCAGAGAGACTTCTCGTTGAAGCACTCTTTGCCCTGATGGCTCACAGACATAATGACCTTCAGGTAATCGCTGGCAGATTTTCTGAAGCATCCCAGCTCTTTGGCCTCACCATTAGTCTTGGTAAGACAGAGGTTTTGTTCCAACCTGCACCTCATTCCAATGCCCCAGTGCCAGCCATCTCCATCCGAGGCACAAAGTTGAAAAATGTGGATCAGCTCAAGTATCTGGGCAGTACCACCTGCAGTGCTGGTTCCCTTGACAAGGAAATTGCCTTTAGAATAGTAAAGCTAGCCAGGCCCTTGGCCGACTTCGAACAAAAGTCCTCAGTCAACACAACATCCATTCTCCGCCAAACTGAAGATCTATAATGTAGTGGTCCTAACATCTCTCCTGTTCAGTTCTGAGACATGAACTCTCTATAGATGGCATATTAAACAGCTCGAGCAATTTCACATGCGCTCCCTCCACTCAGTAATGAGCATTTGCTGTCACGACAGAGTGACCAACATTAAGGTCCTTGAGAGAGCAAACATAACCAGCAGCGAGGAAAAGTTGTTGAGAGTGCAACTGAGGTGGACTGGACCATCAGAATGGAAGACCACCACCTCCCAAAACAGATCTTGTATGAGGAGCTGAGGCAGGGCAAAAGAAAGAAGGGTCATCTGTACAAGTGCTTCAAAGACAGCCTGAAGAGCACTCTCCAGTGGGCTGGCATTAGCCCCAAAGAACTTGAGCAAATTACTCAGAACAGGACTCACTGGCGGTCTCTGACAAGAGAAGCATGCAATAATTTCGAGCAGGAGTGACACAATCATCTCCAGGCTGCAGGTGAAAGGTGCCATAAAGCTGCATCATCAAACATCATGGATACCTCCTTCCCATACCCTCAGTGCGGCTGATTCTCTGCATCAGGGTTCAGACTTCAGAGTCATATGCGTAGCCACAGATGAGATTTGTGATATCATCATCATTGTTACCGATGGACTACCAACACCACCAGTGTAAGGCACTTTATACAAGTTTAGTTTATTTCAGTTTACCTAAGTGGAAAAAGCTATGCCAGTACAAGCACTTTTATACCAGTATACATTACGCAGCTTTGCCATTTTAACTATACCAGCATAGTTAAAGCAGCTGAACTTTTAAGTGTAGACAAGTCTTCTGTCTGGGTGGCATCCCTCCCACGCCAATAACTGAACAATGATAGAATTATGTTGTCCTTTTGAAGACAAAAAAGAATAAAGATAAACAAAGCTCTAGAGCCTTTTAAAAACTGTAAACTTCATACCTTCTATGAATACAGCTACAACGTTGGGGAGATAGAGACTGTCATTTACTATATGTTTGCATAGTGCCTACCACATCTGGTTGTGGCCAGTAGGTGCTATGGCAATTTAAATGGTAAATAATTGAGGCTGCAACAGCAACATTTTCTATGTAACATTCTCTAGAATGCCCTTTCTCTCAGTTCTACTTATAAGAGGACTCACCTTTGGGTTGAAGATCATTTTAACATCATTGACTGTTGCATTAGCAACATGGCCAGAGATAATTTGTTTAGCATGATTAAAATGAGTCTTGTAATTTTTTGATTGGAAAAATTTGTCATTTTGATACAAGACAAAGCCAATACTTCCATCTCCAGATGAACCTACATTGGGCAAAGAGAAAAGAGATGTAGGTCATAGATACTAATGGAACGGATTATTATAGGAGGAGCTGATAGCAACTCCTATATTTAGCTAGCCTAACACTTCCATTGTAAAAGATCCTTTGAGAAGCTCTTACACCTCCGTTATACACAGCATGCCTTAATATTTGTCAGGGAAACCCTTTGAGCTAAGGAAGTACCTTTCCCTCTGTCCCATGAGATTCTAGTCAGCTTTTGCTGAGACATTAACTGTTAAAAAAAATCACCGTTTCCTTTCTCAGAGTTACATGCCCTAGAGCAATTTTGGCAGTCTGCAAGAAATTTAAAAGTTTATTAGAAAATATTTAAAAAGAAACGATACAGAAAATTTGAAGCGTCAGTTATTGGTCATTGGGGGTAACATACAGAGTATAGGGGGATGTTAGTATTTTGGGGTTGGGCAGCACACATAATATATACAGACTGCAATGTCCCCAATGGGGGGGTAAATGGTGAGCGGGATCAAGATACAGCCGACAAAGCGGTGAGGGTCCATCACTCATACAGAAAGTACAGACAGTCATGGGTATAAGTAAGCGGGCTGGGTAATGGGGATGGGGTGACCCTCACGTGGTGGGGTTCAGTTAGGTTCGGTGGGTTCAGGGCTCAGGGGATAAAGTCCAGCAGGGGGGGTTTATAGGTCTCTTCCCCCTTGCGGGTGCACGAGGTCTCCCTGGCTCACTCTCAGTATTGGCGGTGGCTGGTGATGTGCTCTGTGTAGATGTCCCGTGACCAATGAATAGTGTCCGAGACCATTAGGCGTCTCATGAGCCGCACGTAATGGCGGCCTACCCCACAGGTCCTTAGCACGCGTTCGTTACATGGGTCCCAGGCACCCAGGGCCCCAACGAGCAGAGCGTCGGTGTGCACCTCGTAGCCCTTTGTCCGCAGGGTGTCAGCCAGGGGGGCGTACTTTTCGAGCTTGCGGGCTCGGGCTTCACGGAAGGCCGGGGTCCTGTTCTCGAATGGAATCGTTACGTCAACCAGGATGATCTTTTTTCCAACCTCATCCGTGACGACGGATGTCTGGGCGCAGCGGGCTGTCAGTGCCGGGGACGGTGCGGTTGACGGTGACTTCTCCCAGGCGCGGGTCGATGGCTTTCACGAGGTGGTCCTAGACGGCATTGTGGCACAGTTGCCAGGCTCTGGCGTGGGGCTTACAGCTGCACAGGACATGGGGCAGGGTTTCGGTGACGTACCCGCACTTCCTGCAGCGCTTGTCCTGGTTCCCGTGGCGGACGGCTCCGTTGAGGGGGACGCAGTTCAGCCGGGCGCGGTGTATGAACCGCCAGTTGGCGAACCGGGTGAAGCTGCCCATGGAGAGGAAGTGGTTGCTGGAGTCCCACTTGCTGGTCACCTCGAAGGCCTTACCCTGGTCCGGTTTTTTCTTCAGGGTGTCCACGTATAGCGCGTGGACAGCGGCCTTCAGAGATCTCTCCAGCACGCCTCTGGCTCCGGGGGTGACGATGGTGTTGTCCTCCGTCCCAATCAGCGGCACCAGGACTCCCAGCTCCTGTCGTTCCTCGCTCCATACCCAGTGACAGCCCAGTCACTTCCCCAGTCGGCGCGTGGCATTGCGGGAGCGGGACCACAGCGAGGCGATGTCACCCCAGTCCCGGGCGAACTCACCGTCAAGGGAACCGCTCAGGAAGGTGGCCACATCCCGGTCGGAGGGAGGTCTGCCGATTCGCTTCCCAATGATGGTGCGCAAGGCGGTCGTCGCAACGTTCCTCACCTTAGCGTCCGGGCACATCAGGAGGCGGAAGGCGTGCGTGATGACCGCGATGTCGCACAGGTCTCCCATGCGGGGGATGTTGGCGCCACCGTGCCTGTGCGCGATGTATACGAGCTCGTTACTGGCTCTCTGGGGCAGGGACAGCCATTTCTTGACCAGCTGCCGGATGGTGTTGTCCGCCTTGTTGAGGGGCACCTTTGCCACGGCGGATCCTCTCAGGACGAAGGCGATGCGGGGGATCAGGAAGGTGTTCAGGGCGTTGATTTTCTGCCACGGCACCAGCAGGGATGCGTCGATCCTGGCGGCGTCCTGCAGGATCTCCCGGATGGTGTCCTCGGGGGTCTGCCGGACGCGGAAGCCTGTCGGCGTGCCAAGGTGCTGGTACGCCTGCCCCTCCGCCAGGGGAACGACGGACTCGCCCTGGATGAGGAACTCCGTCGTCAGTACTGAGTCCCTCTTGCTCCCGTCAACCTGGAGGGACGCGCACTTCTTGGCATTGAAGCGGAGTCCCTTCCAGTCCGCGGCTCTCCCGATGGTGTCAAGCATGCCCTGGAGCCTCTCGGGGTCGTCCACGATCAGGACCAGGTTGTCCGCGTAGGCCAGGACGCTCACCCTCTCGCCGTGCAGGTCGAAGCCGTCGGCGCCGTCGGAGATCGCCCGCAGGAGTGGCTCCATGGTGAGGTTGAAGATGATCAGGCTGAGGGGGCAGCCCTGCTTCACGCCGCTGCGGATCGGTATCTCGGCGGTCTCCCCTTCTACTGAGCGGATGGTGGTGCTGCAGCCCTCGTATAGTTCCCGGATCAGGTGAAGAAAGGTCTCTGGCATCCCAAACTCCTGGAGTGTGTCAAAGATGTGGTGGTGGGGGATGGACCTGAAGGCATGCATGAACATTCCCAATTGCCAGGTTCACAACGATGACAAAGCCACAGCAATAGAATCAGACACAGTGCTGGGAATATGTGAAAGCTGCCAGAGCAGCTATAGGGATGGGGCAGAAGAGATCCTGGCCTCTTTCCCTCAGACCCAGCACATGGCCTCAGTGGGTCATGCACTACATGGGACAGAAACTGGGATAGATGGCTCTGCCCCAACATACACATTCTCTGCACAGCATCTGGCCCCAGCAGCTTATTTCCATCTTCTGGAGATACTTCATGGAGCAGGTGCTCACCCAAGAGCTAAGCAAGGCTGAGCTCCATCCCTCCACTCCCAATACGGCACATTCACCCAGTGGGCCATCCTGCCCCTCTGGGATAACAGCCTTCTATTTCTGCCAGCTAATATAGTTAAACCTGTACCTCAAGAACTCCTGTTGCAGTCTATGCTGCAGTGCAGAAGGCTCAGGGTGGGGTTTTTTACAGTTGCACATAGTAGAATTTGTATTTACCTTTTCAATTTAAGAAAACCTAGGAAATTACATACAAAAAACTACTTTAAAATGGCTTTTTACAATGTATTAACTTAAACAACAAATTGAAGTCATAATATTGACAAAAATAGAGAAAAATATTGCAAACAAAGAGGAAAATGCTAATACACCTCTACCCCAATATAACGCAACCTGATATAACACGAATTCGGATATAACGCAGTAAAGCAGTGCTCCGGGGGGTGGGGAGGCTGCGCACTCGGGTGGATCATAGCAAGTTCGATATAACGCGGTTTCACCTATAATGTGGTAAAAAAATTTGGCTCCCGAGGACAGTGTTATATCAGGGTAGAGGTGTATATCAGTCTGCAGACTGCATCTCCTTTAGGATGGGGAAGGTGGAGCAGAGCTGCAGAATTGTCTCTCTTAGGGTGAACGAGACTGTGAAAATAATAATAAGAGCTACAGAGCAATTAGATCACACTGGTTTAGAGTCTTCCAGTGTATTTAATTATTTGTATAGCACCTTTTACTAGTATCAAATCAATGAATAAGCAAATAAGCAGAGATGACATTACAGAAGTTAAGAGACAGTTAGACATCTGTGAAAATAACTTCTAAGAATGAAATTTTTTTTTAAAACTGTATACTTGTAATGAAGATGAGGAAAGACAGTAGCTATTTTAACCAGTTCTCTGGGGTTTATTGTTGTCTTCCACCACACAAAGAGCAGAAGATGTACTTTTTTTTAGCCTAGATGATTTTATTCAGATAAAGGAAAACAACAAGGAAAGAGAGAACAAATGTAAAATCTGCATGTGAAGGAGAACACAGTAGCTCAATCTGTAACATTCTGCAACTGAAATTACATTAAGAACGGTTAAAAGAATGTTATTATTTAGGTTACAAAGTCAAGCATTTGAAAATTAGGAAATGCCAGATTTACATTTGATAAGCCAACTTTAATATTGTCCTTTTGTGCATCCCTCATGTTCACTGAATGAGGCAGGCGTCCTGTGGAAAAAAATGGTTTGTAATTATGAAATTAATCATGAACTAATCAAATTGTAATCATGAAATTAAAGTCTGTACCATAATAAATATGCACAGAATTAAGAATTAAGGTTACACAGGAAATTGTCTATCTGGCATTTCCTAACTTTTCAGTGCTTGACTTTGAAACAAAACACCACGCTTTTATGTGCAACTGTGACAATCATGCATCATTTGAAACTTGACTGTCCTGTACTACAGCACAGACTTCTACACCACTGGAGCTACCAGGCTAAAACAGCCTTTTACTGCTATTACCTATGAAATCCCCAGGGGAGGGAATGGGCTGCCTCTCCCATACCACCCTTACAGCTGCTCCGGCACCGCCCAGGTGTTCCCACGTACTGCGTGTGTGTGCTAATGCTGATACTTTGGTAGCAGCAGAGGCCTAGCACTTTAGAATGTTCATGGCACCATTATTTTGGCAAGTTGTTATAATTTCCCTGAGGAACATAAGGGAAGTGTCAGTTTTCAAACATGTGTAACTCAGCAAAACCTGAACAGATTTTCACAGGAATAAGAAAAGACATTTCTCTCTAGCTCCAGGCATTTCTCATTGCCATATTTCAGAAGCCTGCTGCAAATATTGAGGTGTTAGAACTTGTTTTTAAAAAGGTCTTAAGGAATTTTATAAAGGAAAAATGTTAGGCAACCTAAATATAGGGGTCACTCCCAGTTTAATGAAACATAAAGTGGCCACTGTCCCCTGCAACAGACAAGCAGACCACTCATTATTTAAAGATGCAGTACACCAAAAACAAAATGGCCTCTTTGCTTTCCATTTATAAACTAAGTTTAACAAGTTTTCTTATAATTTAATAAAGAATCAGACTAGTGACAAACTGAAGTTAGAGACTCCCTCATGTCAAAAATTAATTACTTATCTGTATCTACCAATCACCTACTGCATATTTGCAAAACTTCTCAAATATTTCTTGAACCATTTTGGATGTTTTAAAGGTTATGAATTTTTTGAGGGGGTGGGGAGGAGGTATATAAATACCCTGAAAACTTTTTTGGGGGGATGAAGACTGTTGTATTAATCATACTGCATTAAACATCAATTGCACAATTTGGCCTAATATGCCAAATATATATATAAAGAGTTGTTCAGAAAATGGTATTTTTTCTGCTTAGCCAATTGTGTGTTCCTCCTTTTCTGGTGCCCAAGTTGAGATCCTGGGGTCTTATTTGCAGAAGTGCTGAGGACTCACAGCTGCAAATTAAAGTCAATGGGCACTGTGCTTTGAACATATGAAGTGCTGCATTATACCATTTACTCTGAAAAATCGGGTCCTGTGCATCAAAAATTGGGCACAAAAGATGAGTGGAAATTTTGACTGTAATCTCTCTGTGCCTCAATTCCCCATCTGTAAAATGGGGATAAGAATAGCCCTTTACTTCACAGGCATATTGTGAAAATAAATTAGTATTTCTCAAGCACACAGATACCATAGTGACTGGTATCATAAAAAAGCCCATGAGGAAATTACTACTCAGAGAAAGGTTTGCATAATAGTGTGTAGTAAATAAGGCATCAGGTCACACTGAATAATGAGGAAAAAACAAAATATTGAATAGCTGCTCATTCAGTGAGCACGATCCACCCCACGTACTGAATGAGGCAGGAGTCCTGTGAAAAAAATAGCATGATATACTACAATCATAATGCATACACACAAGAAGGCCAAATTAAGGTTGCATAGTTAATCTTTGAGTGCTCAACTTTGCATATTAATGTTCATTTAACATAGTGTTTGGGTGTAATTTTATATTTATTGTCTGTTTGTTTGCACCACTATCCTATACTACAGGAATGATTCAGAGCTGCTCCGTTTGTGTAGGTTGCTAGCAGCTGGCATACAAAGAGGAAATATACCTCTATCCTTTGATAGCCAAAAGGGATTTTCTTTTTAAGCTTACATGGTAGTAGTCTATAGTTTTGGAGCAGAAATTTTTAGTCCAACCTCTAATGGAGATGTGTGATTTAGAGATTCACTTTGGAGTCTGTAGCTCTGTAACCACACATTCATTACAGTTATAACATAAAAACAACTCAGGCCATGTTACAGGTCAGTCAGCAGTGACTCACAGATAAGGTCACACAGTTTAGCTTTGTCATGTACACTTCTTGTTCTATGATATGTGCCCTAATATATGTACATAAAAACGACATCTTTTCATAGATTTTAGTCAAAGGAGTGTGAGAACACTTTTGTGCAGAATTTGCCCAGCGCTAGTTTTTGGGGAAGAGAAGAGTGTACTTACTGTTGTTCTTTGTAACGTTGATCAATATTTGAACTTCTGTATTGTTGTCAGGTTTCAAGTCAGAGACATTTTCATCTACATTAATATTTTCAGACTGTAAACTTCCTGATACTGTGTAGGCAAAAGTCACCAAAGAATTTGTACAAATTGTTAGAATTTGTAAAAATTTGCTCATTGTCCTTATAATTCCCACAAAGCAAATAAGCTTACCTGTCTGTGCAGAGAAAAAAGCTGTTGTTGTAGTTGGCTTCAATGAAATGTGATTAACTGCAATATTGGGCTGAATAGCAGAGCCATCCAAAGAGAAATTTTGCAGTGTCTGTGTGAGGCTGCATTGAAGTAAGGAATGGTGTAAATGTCTTTACCACTGTAAAGTATATCAGAATATAGAGCCAATGTCTGCCCTCCCTCAGTGATTTCAAATTTGTTCCATAGAGTGTAGGACAGGGAAGAATTTGGCCAAAAATCTCTTATTCTAATGGGCCAAATCCCATTACTGTTGAAGTCAATGGGAGATTTGCCTTTGACTTCAGTGGAACTAGGATTTGGCCTTTTATGCATCAAGGGGGAAAATCTAGAATATTGCTACAATTTAATAGTTGGTTAAATAACTGGGAGATTTTTTTTCTAATTGTGTCAATGTGTCCAGGAACCTGCTCCTTTAAGCATGCTAGTAATTCACCTTTTCCATTCTCTGGATATCCTACTAGTAATAATAATACTTTAAATTCTATGATTCCTTTCATACAAGAACCTCTCAGTGTTTATTAATATTCATTAAGCTTCACATCTACCCAGGAGGTAGAGTAAGAACTCCTATTCCCATTGTCCAGACAGGGAAAGCGAGGCACTGGTTAACTGACGGGCCAAAGGTGACACAGCAATTCAGTGGCAAAGCTGGGAACTGAATGCAGGTAACTTGACTTTTCATCCCCAACTCTAGACCTCACTGTCTCCAGATTAGGAAAACTGGGCCAACTTCATTCATCCCTGGGGTAACTCTTCTGAATCAGTGGAGTTACCCTGGAGATTAATTTGTCCCACTGTGTTCCATTTTTCATCTTAAATGGACAGACATGTTTAGTTTTACCAAATTTAATAGAAACAGAAATTGTAATTACCTTGCTGTAACAATAGTAAGGTTATCATCTGCAAAGTTGAATTCACTCACTCTGGCATCCAAAAGTTGGCTAACTGTAGCCACTGCAGCCACTGTAGCAGTAGCTTCCTGACAAACAAAAAAGAGGGAAATATTCAGTAGGAATGGTATATGAACTCACTTCTTTTAATACGCTGTATTGTGATAGAATATTTTGTTAACACTTGCCTTAATCAAAAGGAAATAGAATAAGTAACCCTCTTCTCCCCAGCCCTGTCTGCCTCGCATTCCATACCTTCCCTTTTATTTCCATTTAGCTGATCCCCTCCTAAATAAATTCCCCCAAAACAAACAAACAAACTCATAATGTGGAACTAGCATAACTTTTAGTGACATTTTGCTTATGTGTTATATCCCTTCCCCACTTTGTGTCTTGTGTCAATCCTGTCTATTTAGATTGTAATCTCTTCAGGACAGGGACCATTTACTACTCTGTTTGTGCAGCACCAAGCACATTGGGGCCCCACTCTTGGTTGGCCCTTAGGGACTACCGTAATAAACCTGTTAAATAAAAATTTAAAATAAAAATGAGCTATTACTGGAAAAAAGTCTTTGAACCAACCGATGCATAGGCACCTCACATTATTTGAATGTAGATAGGCAAAAAAAGAGGTTAATGTAGTACGTCAGGTTCAGTTGATTCCAATATTTGAATTTCAAATGCACAAAATTTGAAGTGATTGATAGAGGTGAATCCATCATGTTATCCCAGAAACTGAGATAGGGACACTATACTAAGATGCTTGAGATCTGAACTCAGATCCAGTGTTTAATAGTTCAATGTATTGCAACTAGATTAGATACTTGGGTTTTGTTGTTGTTTTTTATTAAGTGAAACCAAAAAGACTGATTTGTTGTGGGGCTTGGAAAAGTGTCCCAAACATCACACTATATCCTATTAAGCCATAAAACAAAATACCTTTTTAGTTCTGGTGAATCTCACCTGAGAATAATTTTTCAGAATCTGTTCTGCAATATCAGCAGCAGTAGAGATGTTCTCAGTGGTCAGTTTCTCCGGCACAGAAGTAAGGATCTGGGTATTACTGGCAATGGACGAAATGTTATCTGGACCGTGTAACTGTTAGAAAAATGGTACATCACACAAAGAAAATATGAGGGAAAACAGTGGCCAACTGTATACCCATTCTCTAATGAAATAAAAGAATAACAGGTTCACAGCCAAATTATTTGCTGCTATAAACTGACACAGCTCCTATTAATTCAATAGAACTGTGCCAGCTTATATCAACACGCAGAGAATGTGGCCCACTATACACAGTCACTTCTCTCACTCATAGAAATACAATAAGATCTTGTCTAGATGACTAAGGGTATGTTTACACTGCAATAAAAGACCCAAGGCTGGCCTGGGTCAGCTGACTTGGGCTTCTGGGGGGTGAGGGGGCATGGGCTGTGGAGCTGTAAAATTAAAGAGTAGAGGTTCGGGCTTGGGCTGGAGACCAGATTCTGAGAACTTGTGGGTCTTTTATCATTGAAGACCTACCCTGAGCTTCTGAATCCATGGACTTCTGTAGCCCCTTCCACTCACAATGTGTGCTACATAAACAGAATTAGATTTTAAATGACTTTAGGAAGCCATCAGAAGAACAAAGGAAATGCCATACTAGAGTAGCCTAGTCCTTCTAAGTAGTTCTAGGATGACTGATAAATCTTTAAATGATAAAGCTTGAATGAAGCTCTGAGATATAGAGGTGGGTTTGCAGCCTGCAGAGCAGTGAAGTTGTACACTAATAACTACAGGAGATGCATTATGTGCGTATTACATACAAACACTATGTTAAAAGAACATTATTAAGGTTGCAAAATTAAGCACTCAAATAGGAAATGTCAGAATTAACATTGCCCGTGCAACCTTAATTTGCCCCCGCCCCCACCCCTGTGTACGTATGCATTGTGATACAGTCTTTAATTACATGATCACATACTATTTTTGCCACAGGACCCCTGCCTCATTCAAGGCACCTTCTCGGGGAGTGAGTCAGGTTTATGTAGTAAAGGAGGCTGTTGTCTGCAGGACCCCTGCTTCATTTGTTGCAGAAGTTGGAAAGGGTGTAGTGAAGGAAGCAGGACAGTGACGGAAGAGAGGATGATCTCATGGTTATGACATCTGAATGATGACCTGGATAATTGGATTCATGTGCCCGTATGCCTTATTTACTGCACACTATTTAAACCCTGGCCTGGATATAGTATTAATTTTTCATGGCACCTATCGCTATTATATCTGAGTGCCTCAAAATCCTTAGTTTATTTTCAAATTATCCCCATGTTACAGATGGGATACTGAAACACAAAGATTAAGGTCAGAAATATCCACCAATTTGGGGTTCCTAACTTGAGACTTCTATGACCTGATTTTTTCAGAGTCCTTAGCACTGAGAGCACAGGAGAAACAGTCTGGGTTATGGGCCTTTACAAAAGTGGTAATTCCTGATCATAGCAGATATAGCTTTCCATCAATTTTCCATCATCATTTGTAACTGGAAAATGTTTAGTTTTCTTTAAAATTCACTAGGTGGCAGTCTAACTTCAAAAGTTAAAAGAATATTGTGGGCAACAATTTAAACTGAAAACACAAATACAGAGCCTATGCTATTACTATTATTAGTAGTAGTAAATATTTATATTATGGTAGCTTCCCGAGGCCCCAGTCTGACACTGTACAGAAAAAGAGAGACAAACCCTGCCCTGACAGGCTCACAATCTAAAGATGCAAACAGAACAAAGATAGAGTTGGTGACAGTACATGGGAGCAAATAAAAATGATCAAGAATTGGCACATCTTTGCTAGTTACGTGGATTGTAGCTTTTTTGTTTTGTTTTAAACTGGGGTTTAAAGTAGGTACAGCTTCACTCTAAGAAGGCATAAAAGTTTGCAGGCTCATGAGTTTTAAAATAACGAGCAAAAAAAACCCTATACTTTGGAATGCCCATTTCAGAGAGAACCTAGGGGATAATGTGTAAACTTGCTTCTCCTCTCTTTTCTCCCAATTTATTTTAGGGTGGCGTTTTCAAGTATTCAGCATTGAACTCTGCTCCCACTCAAATCAAATGGGAAATCACAGGCCAAAAGTGAGTGCTTTTGAAAATCCCACCTTTATTTATTTTCTGTATGTGCAGCTGTATTGTAATATGGAATCATAACCAATGGCCTGAAACAGGTTGAAAGCTTCATTATACTTTATAACAGTTTTATTGATGAAGACAAATCTGTTATTTATCCTATTTTCTAATGAACCTATCTTTATAAATCTGTGACATACCATTTTACAGTTATAAAACATTTAGTTCTTAAAAAGTGGGCAACTACTCACTGGGCTAGGGAAGAGCAAAGCAGCCAGAATGTACTGGTGATTTTAGCCCACTGTTTCTTGTTTCAATCAACTCTGCATTTGGAATCCATATCCCAAACTCAGATCATGAAGGTCATTATAGCCCCCCTTCACTGTAGTTGGCATATTAAAAGATAGGATTACCTGATCCATTAGGATTTTCAGGTTCTTACTGCAGTCCACCACCTTCACATCATCTAGAGTAGGTTTTCCTCCTATTTTGGAGCACTTCCGGCTTGCTTTTGGAGTACCAGCTTTAATTTAAAAAAAAGTCCTTTCACAGTCATATGTCAGCATTCTTTGCAGGTCCCTTAGAATTTTTTTAATTGTTTTCTTCTCAGGGCCTGATCCAGTAATTCTCACTCATATAAATAACTCTTATTCAATCAAGTAGTGCTATTGATGTCATTGGGTTATTCATGTAAATAAGGGAAGGATTAGTCACATAAGTAAGGGTTGTAGAATCATACCCCTTAAGCAGGTAATTTCCCCCCCCACACACAATAGGTTTGAAAATTTGTCACAGGTTACCAGCAGAAATACAGAGGAGGCAGTAACAATATAAATGTTACTGAACAAAGAGATGCCCTACAGATCATCAGACATTGTAAGTATTGTGAACTCATTGTGTTATATAATATTCAACTGATCCTATTAAAAACCTCTTTCCTACTCCTGTTTTTTACTTACAAAATACCCACAATCCAATCAGACTAAATGGATGATATTTTAATAACTTTTCCTGAAACCTTTTTCTATGTCATATGGTACAATTAAATTAATTCTCTGCACGGTAGTAGCTGACTTAATTACCACCTGATAACTGTTCAGTGGCTTATGTGATATGAGTTAGTGATCTCAGTCCAGTTCCAAGTGGCCAGGTATCCCACTCATAAAACTCACCATTCAGACTAGCATTTTTGCTGGCCATTTTGGAGACCAAGGACATGAAGAGTAAATTATATTTATTTACATTGACATATGGAGACTAAATTACCCCTTCACCTTCATAGGGATCAGCATCAAAACATAGTGGCAGCGCAGTGTGGGGAGGGCTGTATCTGTTCAGGGTTTACATAGAGGACTTCCATCTCCTGGTCTGATAAGCTGACATCTTTCACCAGCCTTAAATTCACTTTTTGGGGGGAAAGAGGAGGGGAAGAGGGGTAAGGAGGGGAGAGAAAAGAAACACCTACCGTTTACAGTGAACTTTTCACATTTTTCTTCAGAATAGCCATATCTGTCTACTATAATTCTTGTAAAAGTAAACTTTTGTGAAGAGTTGAATGGGTAAATACTATTTTCACAGAAATTAACTGTGTAGGGAACAAAATACATTCAGGTTAAATACTATCATCATGTAGAGCAATTTTCAAGAACACAAAATATAAAGCTAGGCAGGAGGTGATTATAACTTTAGACTTGTGACTTAAATCAGTGGTTTTCAACCTGTGATCCATGGACTCCAGGGGGTCCACAAACTGTCTAAGATTTTCAAAAGGGTCCGCACCGCCATTCAAAATTTGTAGGGGTCCACAAATGACAAAAGGTTGAAAACCACGTCCTTAAAGGGACAATACAGAGACAAAGTGGGTGAGGCAATGTCTTTTTGTGACACTGAGCCAGAAAGGGTTAAGCGACTAGCAGGCTAAATGATCCAAATTCAACCTTTAAAGACTTATTAGAGAAGTATATAAAGTAGTAATTAGGGACATTCCTTATAAATAGCTAACAAAGCCATGCTAGATAAACTAGAGCTTTAAAATGCAAACCTGTATTGTAGAGAATAAGGCTAGGTCTACACTACAGCGGGGGTCCGACCTAAGATACGCAACTTCAGCTACGTGAATACCGTAGCTGAAGTTGCGTATTTTAGGTCGGCTTACCTGGCGGTGAGGACGGGGGAAAGCCGACCGCTGCCGCGCTGCCGCCGACTCCGCTGCCGCCTCTTGCCGAGGTGGATTTCTGGAGTCGACGGCAGAGCGATCAGGGATCGATTTTACCGCGTCCTCACGAGACGCGGTAAGTCGATCCCCGATAGACCGATTGCTACCCGCCGGATCGGCGGGTAGTGAAGACATACCCTAAGAGGTAAATACTAACTGTATGTGTTTCCCTCTCTCTTATTAGATGTTAACCATGTAACCAGATTAGCTTGTGGATGCTAACTCCCTTTCATGTTTTAATTGTATTAGATTATGTTTATGGATGGTTCAGTTACCCTTAAGATCAAAGATGTAAGATATTGCAGGAAATAATATTACTTACATTGTCTTCAGTTTAAATTGTCTGTGCCATAATGGAATGCCTTGATAGTTTGAATAGATAATTGCCTTAAGTTAATTAATACTACTAGTTTACCTGTGTATACATAAGAAATAGGGATTTTTACTTCAAAGCAACTGATGTGTGTTACCTATTCTTCATTCAAGGAACGCCTGCTGTGTTATTATACTGTCAAGAAGCTATCGCAGCCTGCCAGCGATCTATAAAAGAACTCTAGGGTCCCGATCCTGTATCTGAGCTCTTCTTAAATTTGGTTGGGGAAACCTGAGTTGGAAGACGGAAATCTCCAGCTCCAGTCTGGATTATCCTGCTAAGTCTCATGGAAGAATTTGAACAGACTCTATATATGGACTGCCTATTTGGACTATAACCTGAAAAAATGATTCTGGAAAGAACTTTTTGCAACTCAGCAGCTCACCATCCCTACTATGAAACTGACCTAAGAATTCTATTCATATCTGTATGTATAATCTTTTAACCACAATACTCTTTCTTCTTTTTTTATAAATCTTAGTTTAGTTAATAAGAATTGGCTGTAAGCATGTATTTGTGTAAGATCTGAAATATTCATTGATCAGTTGGGTAATGTGTCCGATCCCTTGGGATTGGTAGAACTTTATGTATGATGAACAAGATTTTCAATAATCCGCATCATAGTTGACTTGGCTGTCTGGGTGGGAGCCCAGGGCTGGGTTGCTTTAAGAGACCTGTGTATTTGGCTTCTGGGTAACCGGTAAGGTATGTTAGAAGCTCTTTTGTTGCTGACTTGGTGAATCTAATTACTAGAATAACGACCAGTTTTGGGGATCAGCTGCCCCATTCTTTGCAGTTTGCCCTGATTGAGCAACCTCAGTCTGGCCTCTCCAAGCGACAATGGTCACACTTATATTGGACTAACTTCTGTTGGTGAGAAACAAGCTTTAAAGCCACACACAGCTCTTCTTCTGGACTCATTGCATACAACAATTAAAGGGACATTGTGAAGTTACAAATTATGGGCCAGATCCTCAGCTGTTGTGGCTCCACAGAAGACAATATAAGAAATTAGACCCTTACTTTTCACTATCTGTGCTGCCTGTATTGGGGGGGGGTTGGACAATGAAAATAGACTAGCTAGTTTCACTTGCCAGGTTCTAGTGCCTTGGCAAAATGTGGGAATATCTATATCAAATACTTAAGGACCATGTTTATTTGCTACCTATTAGAATAGAGTTACAGAGGGAGCTGGTATCAACCAATATATTTAGGTTGCCTACCCCTGTCATTCTAAAAGATTCCTGCAACCTTTTCTTTGAGAAACCTTCACACCTTCATCACTTGCAGCAGAGTTTTGATATTCAGCAGGGGGAATCCCTTCAGGGTAGCAAAGTGCCTACTCTTTGTCTCATGAAATTCTGTTCAGCTTTTGCTCAACTGTTACAAATCACCATTTCCCTCCTCTCTCATGAAAAAAGTTGACAGTCTACCAAAATAACTAAACACAAATATTCTAAGGCGAGCTGATGCCACCAGCAAAGCAGCAGCAACATTACACTGTATCGAGACACCTGGGAGCTGCCAGAGCAGAGAGGGAGGAGGAAGGAAATCGGGGAAGAAAGTCTGGCTGCTTTCCACCACCACTCCTAGTTCCAGCACTTGGTCCCAGCAATCCATTCCCACCACCTCTATCTAGGGACATCATATGGGGCCAAAGCGCCGATAAGTCCTAGGGCTCATGAAGTGGGAAGGAAGCGAAAGAAAGCAGGGCCAGGCTCCCCACATCCACCTCCTAGACCTGTAGCCTATAAAATGTATTAGGTTAAGAAATAAGTCAAAATTAGGCTTTTGCCTAAGTTAGGCTAAGTATAGAGGAGCATGGGAAATTGAGTTTGTTAGTGTGAGCGAAGGTTAGAGATAAGTTGGAGACTTTAAGATGAGAAAATTGAAATTAGCAAGGTCATGACCCAAGGTTTGGTTTTGGTTATAACTGGTTTTAGCAGGGTTTTAGTGAGTGTTTTTGAAAATCTGGAATATTTTATTAAAATTCTATCTATATTGGCAGCATGGGAAGGACATTGGTGCAGATGTTAATGTAAATAATGTGTAACGTAAAGAGATGGCAGAAATGTGAATATGGTAATCGGTAGGTTTAATGTTAATTAATAGGAAAAGGAGTAGCCTTACAAAATTGTGGGAGAACTCTAATTAACACCGAAAGGGTACTGTTAAATTACAGGATTTTAAAACTATACTTCATTCAGTTGTCAGTGGACTGATCACCCATTGTTACGCCATTCTATCTATGAATGTAAGTATAATTTTAGTATCTGTGTAAATGGTAATTGTTTGCCTGTTTGCTTAACTAATCATTGTTCTCCTAAATAAGGTTTGGTTCTATCATTCAAAATGTCATCCAAGGCCCTCTACTAAACTAAATTGTCTCTGACCAACCTAGAGGCTCCAACTTGAAAACTAAGTTTGGTCTATTGCGTTCTTAGCTTTAATGATTTAATACTAATTGGGAACATTTAAAATTCAAGGTTACAACCCAGCACATGGCTCCAGAGGCCCATTTCCTCACCCCTCTTCTAGGGCACCACATAGTGCAGGAGCCCCCTGCACTCCCCCAAACACCCACCAGACCCATCAGTGCTCTCTCCCTTTATGGTAATGGCCTTCTCCTGCTACTTGCTAACATAGCTAGTCCCATAGCTTCATTAAGTGGTAGCAGTCAGTGTTGCAGTGCTGAAGTTTCAGGTAAAGGTGCATGCTGAGGACAAGGGGATTGTTTTAGCTGCACATTGTGACACTGTATGAAATAACGTGAGAGATATGAAGGTAGAATCCACTGTTGATCTAACCAAATATTACCATGGGTTTGTAAAGGGATTCAGTAACATTGCTACATCCACAATAAACCTTACTAAGAAAAAGCCTGTTATAGTAAAACATGATTTTGATAAACCATTTGTTATACACCGATAATTCTGATGTTGAACTGAAAGCTGTAATAATACATAATCAAGAATGAGAATTACTGTGATGCATTAAGCAGTGTCTAGGACACTGCACCCCTTTCTGCATCAATTTTGCATGGGGGAAGTGTGATGCTGTATGAAATAATGTGAGACTTTATGATATTATTGATATCAATATTATAAAATTGCAATGAATCTTACCAGATATGCTGTGGAAGGTATCAGTGAAAATGTTGTGATTTGCCGAGTATGATAATCTTGTCTCATCTTTGTATTGTGAATTACAAAAGTGTGTGATATATCTGTATTTCAAACTGGTGCTGTTTGTGGGTGAAACCC